TACGCCAGAAGGATATTACAATCTTAAACATATACACCACACAGGAGCACCTATTTTCATGAAAGACACATTATTAGATTTAAAATCACACATTGACCCCACACCGTGATAGTGGATGACTTCAGTACCCCACTGTCACCAATAGATGGATCAACCAGATAATAACTACATAGAGAAATTTGGTGGGGGGGCTAGAAAGGAAGGGTGCAGATATGTAAGGGGATCTAAATATGATCAAAATATATTGTATGAAATTCACAATAATAAATATCAAGGCCATGGGGGGGTGGCACATGCTTTTAATCCCAGCACTTGGGAGGCAGAAGCAGGCCTACTTCTGTGAGTTTAAGGCTAGCCTTGTCTACATAGCAAGTTCCAGGCCAGTTGGGGCTACAGGAAGACCCTGTCTCAAAAAGATGAAAGGAAGAAAGAAAGAAAGAAAGAAAGAAAGAAAGAAAGAAAGAAAGAAAGAAAGAAAGAAAGAGAAAGACTGGGGGCTCAGTGGTAGAATGTGTGCTTAGTATGAACAAACACTTGGATCCAACTCCAAGCACCCCTAAAAATGAAGAACCCTTTGTATATGCATGTAAATGGATATACCCACAAAGAAGTATATGGGAAAAAAAGACAGCAAACCTAACAAGTCAGCTTAGGGCTGCAAGAGAGCAGCTCTGAAGAGACAGATTATTTGCTTCTTTTCCAGCCTCTTATTCTTGACTTGTTCCAACAAGCAGGTGTGACTTGATGATTTTCTTTAGATCCATGAAGTGGCAAAAAAATAAAGTTGGAGTGGGGCATGGCAAAGAGCTTGTCTGCCTCTCCCACTTTGCAGAAAGGGATTGTTCTGGGTCTGTGAGAACTTTTCGAATCTGAGGTGGCAAGTCTTGGGGGGGGGCTGTAGCTGTTGCACCCCAACCTCTGTGAGCCCACCTACCCCCGCTGTCCTGGACCAGCCTGTTCTGGTTCTCGTCCGTCTCGCTCACCAACACCTGCAGTTGTTCACTGACTCAGCCACTCGAACACGGAGTACAGGATGGGTGACCCTGGGTCCAACAACAGCAAACCTCCCTGAGGTTCACCCTCAGGTTGAGGATCACCCCAATGCCTTACCAGTATCGTCTCACATAGTTCTAAGGGCCTTAGGAGATGAGAGCTGAGGTTATTGTCAATGCACAGGTGAGGAAATGTGGGGTTAACCGTGTTCCCACTGAGTCCTGCATAAAGAACACTGTGGAAATGCACCCTACCCAGGGTGCTGATACTGCCTCTGAGAGCCTAGGTTTCCCACACCTCTGACCTGGGGCCTGGGGAAACAGGGCTGTTGCTGAGTACCCAGCTCTTTGAGTATCCGCTGAAGGTGCTGGTGAAGGGGCAGCTTATGAGCAACTCATTGGTGGCCAGGTAGGAAAGCAGTACACCCCCAGCTCAGCAGGGAGCCTTCTTGGTTGAACAGAGGGGGAGCCCTCTGGCACACAACTGCCTCCAATACTGCTCCCACCCACTGCAAGGTCAGGCTGGGCTGCTGGAGGCCAGCAGGACACTTGGCATCAGCTGCAGAAAAACATTGGCCTCAGCTGGAAAAAGACCAGCTTGGGCCATGCGGGGTGTACAAGTAATTCTGCCTATTAGCTACAAGAGTCAGGAAGCTGGTGGGGCATAAAGGATTGTCAGACACAGACAGGAAGTGACATGACCCCCTGAGACACTCCCTCTCTGCTGGTGCGTTTCATGGTGGGCATTCCCAGGCTGCAGGGTAGCAGGAAACTGGGAGAAACTGGATAGAAGATTCTGAAAGAGAGGACTGCCCTGTCCTCTTACAGTTACTAAACATACCAGGGGTCCTGATTTCGTACATCCTAGGAAGGCCACTTCTCCAGGTGGAGAGGAGAAAGCTAGGCAGGAGATGGTCTCAGTCCTTCTGGAACTTTATCTTGCTCGGTGTTCTCTACCTTCAGTCAGATTGAGCGGGTTGGAATCTGAGCCCATTTCAGTATTCAGTGGTGTGATTCCAAAGGAATTCTATGTGTGTGTTTTAAAAAGGGGGGGTGGTGACATAGACAGACCAGCCACCACCCACCCTTGCCTTTGCAAGTCTTGATACATACGGAAGGCCCCCTGCCCATTCCTTAAGAACAAGTTGTTTCTCAAGCTACAACTCTAGATTCCCTTAGGTTCCGGGATCCCACCAGCTGCTTGGTGCCTTTTGTCCCAGTGGCGATGCATGGAAAGCAGTTCACTCTCAAAGGTGTCACGACTTGGACCATAAACAATATGGTTAAGGTTGAGGCTCACCTCCATGTGCAGGTGTTCCCTTCGTGTGTGGGGGGAAGGGGGTGTCCCCACCAGCCAGAACAGTGGGGACTCAAGAGCCAGCCTGTCTTCTCTCCATCCCCACACCCTTCCCAAAGCTTCCCAAGTCATCGCTGTGTTCTAAAGTGGACAGACACATGAACCCACAGGACACTCAGCCTGTGTTTCCTCCTGTTTCCTTCAGGTATCTATAAAGGCCATTGCTTCCGGATCAACCACTTCCCAGAAGACAATGATTATGACCATGACAGTTCGGAGTACCTCCTCCGTGAGTATCAAGCACCACAGCCACTTTACATGGGGAGGGAAATGGGAGGGAGGAGTTGGAGCGTGAGCCCTGTGGGCCTGGTCAGACTGCCTTGCTCTGGGGGCTGTGGACACACCTTCCATTCAGAAGTTCTAACAGAGGATGGGGTTTGATGCAGCGCTACCCTTACACACTAGGTATCTGAGTATAGGTGAAGTTGTTTGGCCGATAGACCCAGACCCACAGACACTGAAGCCTAAGCAGAGGGGGCTGCTGGTGGGTGTGGCCAGCATTGGGCAAACTGACTGGCTGGGGCAAGGGAAATTTAAGACAGATTCCTGCTGGGGATTTGACTCTATTGGTAGTGTGCTTGCCTAACACAAACAGTGTTCTGGGTTTGATCCCTAGTGCCGCATAAACCCAGCATGATGGTGCATTCCTGTAATCCCAGCACTTGGGAGGTAGAAGCAGGAGGATTGAGAGTTCAAGGTCATCTTCTGCTACATAGTGAGTTTGAGGCCAGGCTGGGTTTACTTGAGACCCTTTCTCAATAAAAGATATGAGTTATCTGACCCCAATGTGGTAGTTCATGCCAGTAATACTAGCACTCAAAAGATAGAGGCAGGAGGATCAGGAAGTCGGGGTTATCCTCTGCTAGGTAGTGAGTCAGTGCCAGCCTAGGTTGTAGGAGACCCTCTCTTTAAGAAGTTAAATAAGGTGCTGGAGAGATGGCTCAGTAGTTAAGAGCACTGGCTGCCCTCATAGAGGACCCTAGTTCAGTTCCCATGGGATCTGACGCCCTCTCTGGCCTCTGCAGGCATTGCACACATGTGGTATACTTACATGCTGGCAAAACATGTATACTCATAAAATAAAAATAAATTTTTTTTAAAAATTAAGAAGCTATGTGCCAGGCGTGGTGGCACACACCTGTAGTCCCAGCACTTGGGAGCAGATCTCTGTGAGATTGAGGTCAGTCTGGTCTACACAGAGTTCCAGGCCACCCTGAGCTGCAGGGAGACCCTGTCTCAAAAAGACCAATAAACACAAAAACAGTTTGAGAAGCTTAAAAAAAGAGCTGAGGCTGGAGAGAGGGCTCAGCGGTTAAGAGCACCGACTGCTCTTGCAGAGAACCGGGTTCAATTCCCAGCACCCACATGGCAGCTACGAACCATCCTTAACTCCAGTTCCAAAGGAATCCGAAGCCTTCTTCTGACCTCCACGGCACTGCATGACACAGATGCACTCACATAGATGCAGGCAACGCACTCATACACGTAAAATAAAAATAAAATATTTTTTTAAAAAGCCTGCACCCACACTGCGACCAGCTTGGTCTACATAGTGAGTTCCAGGACAGCTGGGGCTACAGGGAGACCCTGCTTCAAAAAGACAAAAAAAAAAAAAATTAAGAAACTATGTAAATAAGGCATGGACTCAGCCCAGGCCACGCCTCCCCCAAGGGATGGGCTTCCCAAACACACTGCCTAGCTAGATCTCCACCTGCCCAGCCCTTCTGTGCACATTTCCCAGCATTCTGTTCTTCAAAAGTCAGATTAAGTCACCCTTGAAGATAGCTTTGTGGGCTGTCATACAGCTCATAGTTGGTGAGGGAGGTGGCAGGGCAGCCTCTGACAGATGGAATTTGTCCCTTCTGCACCAGCTCTTACAGCCACCCACCTCTGCCTATGGACGCTGTCCCTGAGCCCTGCCTCCATCTGATCCCGTGACTGAGTGAGGCCCCCAGATCGCTGCCCACGGCACTGCTGAACCCAAAAGGATTAAGTACCCTGGTTCCTGAAGTCCATCCAAAGTTCATCCCAGTGCCTCTGAATACCTTCCCCTCTAGAACAGAGGGAGTTACAGCCAGAGAGGATTGGAAATGGAAACTAGCATTTCCACATTACTCTCCCTTTCCCTGTCAGCCAAAAGACACAAAGAACAGTCCCCGGCAGCACCCCTGGTGCTCTGGCCCAGCCTCACTTATGGAGAATCGATACCATTGTCCTTACAGGGAGCACAACTCACTGTGCACCTGATTATGGGTCTTTTTTTTTTTTTTTTTTTGTCTGCAAGAAAGGATTTGGATTCTGAGTCATCTGGAGAAATAGAACAGCATGCAGTTCCCATGGAGCTGAGGCCATGTCAGGCTGCTCCAGCCAGGCCCAGAACCTGAAATAATATGGCCGGAGCCCTGCCCCCATCCCACCTCCCTCATCTTCTCCTCCTCATCCTTCCTGTCTTCTGATTCTGCTTACTAGGGGCCCACACTGGACCAGGCAAATGAGATTCCCTTAGGGTGGCCATAGCACACCATGAAGGGTGCACACTGCACAAATCAAGGAATATCATTTGTAAAAATTACAATATGAGTGATGTCCTTCAGGTTCTGCTGTTGTGGGGCCTGTGGAGAGGAGCTGGATGGACAGGGCTAACTGGCAGGATATATGGACTCAGGAAAGAATACAGCCTCTTCATCCTGCTGCCTGGCAGAAAGAAGCTGAGGGGGGTTACTCCATCAGTGCCACTGGCCTCCGAAAGCCAGCGTTGGGAATCTGGTGGTTTGGTCTACACAGCCAGCCTCCTGGGACCCAAGGCAGGATGGTCAAGGACAGAGTGAGGGTCTGGAGGGATACACAGCACATGTGACCAGCAGCTGCTGCAGTCCTCAGACCCCACCTGAACTGGGCTGCATAGTAGTGGTGATGGTGTGACAGTAGCCCCTCCTGGCAAGGGACATATTCTCAAATGTACAAGGCCCTCATGGAGACTTCATGGTTTATCATACACTCAGAGGTGCCCAATGAGAGAATGACAGATGACTCTCAAGCCTGCAGACTCTGGCTGATGGTGGGTTTGCCAGTGGGAGGCAGAGGGGACTTCCCAAAAGGGTGGTATGTACCCAATCAGTGACTGCAGAGACAAGGACACTGGCCTGAAAACTGATCACCCTATTCCTCTAGAATGCAGGTCAGCCTGGAGCCAGCTGGGTACACAACTTTCTGAGACCAGCTAAGGTCACAGTCGCCATGGCCAATTGATCTGTATTTCCAGGCTTCCCTGATTCCTAGCATTCAACCTTCTGATCTCTGTCTAGACTGTTATCTCCAAAACTGGAAAAGTCCAAAAGCATGGTCTGGGGTGGGGGGCAGGGAGGCTCGTGTGATTTCATTTATTTATACATTCATTTAACAGAAACTTACTGTGAGCCTGCTATGTGTCAGATACCATAATAGGCACGTGGGATAGAACAGCAAGGAAAACAGTTTTGCCCTCCTGATGCTGATAGGCTGCCAGAAAACAGGGCTTGGAGGTCATAGAAGGTTCCATGGCATGGGGAGGTCTATGGGGCTAGAGCCCAACTGGCCCAAGACTGGGTAGCTTACACCCTATCTTGGACAATTCAGAAAGTAGTAGATCAGTCCTGGGCCGTGTGTTCCTAAGCTTCCCAGAGGAACTGGATCTGAGTTTCAAGTTACAACTGTGGGCTCTGAACTCTTGTAATACCACTGAGGGCACACATCCACAGCCCACGATTTGAGGAAGTTGCCACTTTAGCCTCTGCCTACAAGTATCTTCTGCAGGCCCTACCTGGCCCCCAAGCATCCCTCCCCTTCTTGTCCCGGTTCTGACGCCCCCTCGTAGGTTTATCATTTCCAGTTAGATGGCCCATTTGTGTGCCAAGCCCCAAAGCTGGTGTGAGGACTTATGTGAGTTCACAGTGAGCTGAAGGGTAAGTTACAAGATGACATCCATCCTCTAGACAGACATATATCATCCCTGTGGCTTGATGTGGCCATGAGGGCATGCCTGACTCCATCCACTGCTCCCTCAGACACATGTTCAGTGAGGAACTCAAGCATCTGTGTCCACGGGATAAGGAACAGACGCTTATAGAACTTACCTGGGCAGGGTGAATGGCCCTGAGCCATTCAGGATCCATTCTGTCAGGATCACCCGACCCGTCTAAGACAGGGAAGATCCTGGCCAGAGTCTGGCCAGCTCAGCTCAGAGGCACATTTTCTAAGCACAAAGGAAGCCTTCTCGAAGGGCCCACAACTATAAGACAGCAAAGAGGAGTCGGGGGAGGAGGTGCTGGGGAGAAGAGCTTCATTTAATGTCCCAGACAATCCCTTCTCTGTGAGGCTGAGCCTCACACTGTGGGTGTACAGAAAGGAGACAAACACTGCCTTCAGAGGCTGCGAGGCCCTAAGCCAATCAGCTGGCTCAGGAGGGGCATCTGCCTGCACTTCCTGACTCACTGTCCCCTGCTGGCACCACCAAAGCCCACATAATCAGATTTCTACAGGACTGGGAGACCCCAGGCCACATGGAGAAGGCCCAGCTCTGAACTTCTCCCATGTCATTTTCTTCCTCTGACTACCTTCTCTCCCACCCAGATGTTAGGGAGGGCACCCAAAGCCCACCATGTGCTTTGTGCTTTGGGGGGCTGTAAGAAACCATCATGAACCATGCAGCTGAAAGCAACAGAAAGTGACTTCCTGGTTTGGCAATCAGAAGTCCAAAAGGGACACATTAGCAGGACTCTGCCCTGCTGCAGGCTTTGGAGGGACAACCTGCTTTCGCTATCTAGGAGCATCAGAATTCTTTGAACATATCAACCCTTCTGCCACTTAGAAGGATGCTTGTCACTTGCCTTAGCAGCCTGGTTCATTCAGGACAGTCTCATATTAAGGTCCCTAAGTACATGTATAAAGACAATTTTCCAAAACAGGTTATAAAAGAATATACTCAAGTGGTCGCTGAAGTTCCATGCCTCAGCTCCCTCCCTTGGCAGAGCAAGTGTATAGATGTACGCTGTGCACTGGCCAGCATAGTGGACATCATCTCACTGTGCCCTGCTGCCTCTTCCGTGACCTCACACACGCCGTGAGCTTGCACATTCTCGTCTGTCACCAGGCACAGTGGTGATTTGCTGGGCAGTCACTCAGAAGTACGTACTGCAGCAAGCAGCCTCATGCTAAACATCTTATAAGGACAAAGCCAACCACAAGGTGTTGGCCCTGCAGTGGTTCCCCTCTATCTGTGGTTTTATTTTATGAGGTTTTAGCCAACTGCAGTTCAAAATTATGAAATGGAAAGTTCCAGAAACAAACTCCTAAGTTTTAAGTAACTTTTATTACAGGATATTGTTTTAATGATTCTATTTTATTATTAGCCTTTATCAATCACTTACTACACCTGATTTTTTTTTTCAATTAAATTTTATCATGGCAGACCAGCATGATGAGTCAAGGCTTTCTGTGTAAAGCCTGGCAACCTGAGTTCAATCTCCAGAACCCACATAAAGATGGAAGGAGAAAACTGATTACAAAGTTGTCCTCTGACCTCCATACACACACCATGGCACATGCATATACCCCTTACATACACAATAATCATAAATAAAAAAAAGAAAAATCTGACTTTATCATGGGTATCTACATATAGGAAAGCACAGGGTCTGTATAGGATTTGGTACTATCTACTTCCAGGTATCTTCTGCAGGCTTAGAATGTACCCCCTACAGATGAGGAAGACAGAGTTATAAGCCACGTTTCACAAGTAGGGCAACTGAGTTTTCAGGAAGTAAAGTGACTTGGCCAGGGGCATTCAGTCTGCATGCCACAGAGCAGGGCTCACACCAAGTCTTACTTAATGTGCCAGAACCCATACCTCCAACCACCAATCAGTACTGGCTCTTGAGAACACTACTCTCCAAGCTTCTGGCGCTCCTGTGGGACCATCCAAGAAAAGGCCTTGTGGGCTGTGAGCTGTCTCATGAATATTATACCATCTAAGACTGAGTGGTTGTTATTGTGGCCTCAGTGCCTCAAGGAACTCTGATACCTCCAGGCTGACAGAAGTGTGACCCATACCCAGGTAACCTGCAGGCACATGTTACTGTAGGTCACTTGGCTTCTGGGAGGGTAAACAGCCAACCCAGAGCCCTTGCTTCCCTGGGGGTCCAGCAGCAGGACTCCTGAGAGAGAGATGCCCATGGCTAGAGGATGGCTGGTCTCACTTGTCCTCTCTGCCTTGTCCCCACCCCGGCCCAGGCATCGTTCGAGCCTCCAGTGTCTTTCCCATCCTCAGCACCATTCTGCTCCTGCTCGGAGGGCTGTGCATTGGCGCTGGGAGGATCTATAGCCGTAAGAACAATATTGTCCTCAGTGCTGGCATTCTCTTCGTGGCTGCAGGTAAGTGGGGTGCCCCACTGGGACTAGTGCAGGTACAGGAGCTGGGCCAGAGTGAAACACCTGGGCACATGACCTTTACTCCTGTGCATCCTGGGGGAGGGCAGACTGAAATCAGTTCACTTTAAAAGGCCAGGTATATCGGGGCTGGAGAGATGGCTCAGCGGTTAAGAACACTGGCTGTTCTTGCAGAAGACCTGGTTTGAATCCCAGCACCCACATGGCAGCTAATAACTGTCTGTAACTCCAGTTCCAGGGGATCCGATGGCCTCTTCTGTCCCCCACAGGCATTGCATGACACGGGTGCACTTACCTACATGCAGGCAATACATACATATGCATAAAATAAAAATAATAAAATAAATAAATAACTCTAAAAGGCCAGGTATATAGAGGTAGGGCAGGAGATGGGGAGCAACTGCTTAATGAGGTTTCCTTTGAGGGTGACACAGATGGGATTGCGCACATTGTAAATGCACTAATGGCCACTGAATTGTGACCTTCAGAAAGGTTAATTTTATATTGTGTGAATTTTACCTCATCTCAGAAAGCAAGATGTACAAAGTGCAACTAAAGTGGTGGGATGCTGGGTGTTTTCCAAGCCTATATAACAGGGTGGGGTGCTGGCTGGTCAGAAAAGAATCTACAGGATTTGTGGGAAGCCAAGACCCAAGGAGAGTTGGCCAGGTAAAGACAGGAGGGTCTGGAACAGAAGTAACAGATAACAGCTATTTACTTAGCATTCAGTCGTGTTGACTCTGAAAACTTATCTAGAGACAAATTAAAGCACAAGAGAATTGCACTGTTTTACATAAAGGGTGTGGTCATTGCAGATGTTGGGCTCTTTGGGGGATTGTAGAACCCAGTAGTCTCTCACAAATGCCAAAGGATAACTGTACTTAGAAGAAGCATTAGCCGACAAGCTGGGTGTAGTGGTGCACAGTGCTAATCCTAGCGCTTGGGAGGTGAAAGCAAGATCAGGAGTTCATAGTCAGCCTCAGCTACAGAGAGAGTTCTGGGGCAACAGAGTTTATATGAGACCCTATGGAAAAGAAAGAGAGAGAGGGAGGGAGGGAGGAAGGGAGAGAGGGAAGATTTATTACCAAACCAGGTGTAGTAGTGCATGCCTGTAATCCCAGCACTGGGGAGATGGAGGCAGAAGGATTAAGGTCAAAGTCATCCTCACTTACATATCAAGTTCAAGGCCAGCATGGGCTACATTCGATTCTGTCTCGAATAAAGAAACATTCATCGAGGAGGGCCTGGCCACCATCCCCTCCTCTGCCCACCTGTTCCATGCCATGTCATTCCTGCTGTGAGTCTAAGCTCTGCTTCTCTCCCTCCCAACCCTGCCCCACTTTCTTTCAGGCCTCAGTAACATCATAGGCATCATCGTCTACATTTCTAGTAACACAGGCGACCCCAGTGACAAGCGCGATGAAGACAAAAAGAACCATTACAACTATGGCTGGTCTTTTTACTTTGGAGCCCTGTCGTTCATTGTGGCGGAGACCGTGGGCGTCCTGGCTGTAAACATTTACATTGAGAAAAATAAAGAGTTGAGGTTTAAGACCAAACGGGAATTCCTTAAGGCCTCTTCCTCTTCTCCTTACGCCAGGATGCCAAGCTACAGGTACCGGCGACGGCGTTCCAGGTCCAGCTCCAGATCCACCGAGGCCTCGCCATCCAGGGACGCATCTCCTGTGGGCCTGAAGATCACTGGGGCCATCCCCATGGGCGAGCTGTCCATGTACACTCTGTCCAGGGAGCCCCTCAAGGTGACCACAGCTGCCAGCTATAGTCCTGACCAGGATGCCGGCTTCCTGCAGGTACATGATTTCTTCCAGCAGGACCTGAAGGAGGGCTTCCACGTCAGCATGCTGAACCGGCGGACGACCCCTGTGTGACCTGCCCACCCCTCTCGGCACCAGCCTCCCCCAGAGTGGCTATTTGTGTGACATGCAACAGGGTGACCCTTAAGACAACGAACAATGAAATGGAGTCAAGCGCAACCCTCCCTGGTCTCCAGAAGATGCTGTGGGCTGGCTTAGAAGCCAGGAGCCCAGAATCAGGGCTAGGGTAGAAGCTGAAGGCTGACTGGATCCTAAAAAAAGTGTTTTGCTGCCCTCCAGGTCTCTGAAATTTCCCAGGAAGCCTGAAAAGTTTCTAGAAGACTGCATTAGTTCACCTGGCCTGCTTCTTGGAAACCAGTCTTACCAGAAGACGAATTCAGAGCCTCTCCCCTGCCTGGGCACTGGGCCACTGGAAGGCTTCTTCTAGATACTAGGAACTTCTGGGCTCTCTTCGGCTGCTTTCCATCCAGAAGTTCCTGTGTCCTGGAGCCTGAATTGAGCCGAAGCTCATCCCCTTCCCCTGTGTCTCCCCCTCTTAGTGTCTGTCTGGCACCCTGGTGGGGCCTGTGGTTGAACACATCATCTATCCTGAAGAGAAAGTTCTATGGTCAATTGGTGCTTCAGCCTCACACTGTCCTGGGGCCGGCTTCTCTCCACCTCAGGAGACCAAAGCCTGTGGAGGAGAGTCCAGGGTAAAGGCAGAGGCTTGGCTGGCTTTCCTTTCTGCTTCTGGAAGTTTCTGCCATGCTGAGAACGGGCAGAACACACTGACTGAACTTGAAGGTCCGGAGGATTCCATGGGTCAGAGGAAAGGTAGACAAGTGGCCTCTTGCTGTGTCCCTCCCCACTAGCCTGAGGGACAACTCTGCCCCCTGAGCAGCACAGGGCCCTTCTGGAAGATGGAGCAAAAGCAGATGCATAAGCTTAAATGCAAGAAAAAGAAGCCTGAGGGTGGGCAGGGACCAACAGGAAGAGAACGAGTATCTGTTTCCACCTGGTTATGGATTGTGACGTTCTGAAAAACCAACGCCAGGAGAGCAAGTTATACTGATTTCTTCATCTTCAAAATAGCAGTTTCGCCTTCCCCAGCTCCTATTATTGTAATTTATTCTGCTGGCACCAGAAAGGATGCACTGTAAGTTTGACTCGAGGGGCCAAGCTGGACTTTTCTTTCTCAAGAGAGGGAAACCTCAGTAACTTTGTTTAAAACTAAGGAAATGATTTCTGTGTTTTACAGTTTTGCCAGCCGTTCCCCTTTCCCCTCTTGAGGCAGGCAGAAAACAAGTACATTCAGATTTGGAAAAACTGTCCGGAAACGTAGAGTTTCCCCTTTTCTATAACACATATGCTTTCTAAGGATAAATTCTTTCTTACTTTTTGAGACTTCTGAATCCAATCTTGAACAGTCATCTGTGATCCTGGTAGCTGTCCCACTTAGAATGACAAACAAATTCTTACCTCAGTCACCTGCTCGTGGAACCCCTGGGTGGACTCAGAGTTCAGACCCAGAACTATTTGGTCTGGGGATGACTTTTGCCTTTCCCTGCCTGCCCGTCACTGCCCTCCCCAAGAGGAAGACATCCCATGTCATAGCTCCAGCCGACCGCCTCATGCGCTGGTGAGCTGAGATGCGGGTATGCCAGGACTACTTGTGCTTGCTTGAAACCCACCCCTCCCAGCCAGGTTGGCTCCTCAGTATGTGTCTAAGCATGCCTTGCAGTGAGCACCAGTGTCAGGACGTGTGGCCTGTCCCTGCTTCAGGCCTCCTCCCTGCCCACCTCCCCTCACATGCCACCTTCACCTCCCCTCCATCTCCACCCCCATTTCAACATCAACAAGGCTGAAGGAAGCCCCAGCACCCAGCGAGGCCCAGGACTTGTCTCCTGTCTCTTCTGAAAACAGCACAGCCTTGTTGTCAACTCCCACATAAGCCACCTCCCCAGTAGTAATCCCAGAAGTTTCTGTGATTCCACAAAGAACGCTGTGTTCCAGTGAATCCTACCTCCTGCCCAGTCCCAGGCAGAGTGAGCAGGGCCCTGTCCAGGGACAAAGAAAGAGTTAGAAAGAAGGGAAAGCGACATAGGGACAGAACGCAGGATGCAAAACCGTCTCAGCTGCTCCAGCCTCCACAGCCTTCCTCCCACTGCCGGCTGGCTCCGCTCTGGGGACCCTGGTCTCCGGCTTGCGCTCCACTGGGGGCAGAGGGAACAAGCTGGCTCCTTACTGCTACCAGTCTCAGAGCTGGCTCCCTTCTGAGGGGACGTGTGGCCCAAGCCCACCCTCCTGCCCTTCTCCTGTCCCGCCCCTGTGTGTTTCACCAGTTAAGCACCTGTGATTCTGTACCCACCAATGGTTTGGGGTTGTTCTGTCTTTTTTTTTTTTTTAATTAAATAAAAACATTTTTAAAATGTTCTCTTTTTGATGTGGGGAGGTGCGGGAAGAGCTCCCCTGAGTTGCTCAGGTATGGGGACTGTCCAAGAGAAAGATGCTGACACTCACTGCCCAAGAAGGGTTTCTCTGGCTTGAATCTGGGTCACTGGCCATATCCTTAGGACAAAGCTAGGCTTAGACTTCTGAGGGTCCCACTGAGATGCTTTTCCTTGGAAAGCTAGAAGATGGACAGGCCACCCTGGGATAGATATGAGCGTCTAGGCAACTGAACAAGCCAGGCCTATCCTCAGAACCCACCAATGTGACCTAGCCAAACTGAGCCACCACAGCCATTGACGCCCCATGTTACCTACTGGGCAACCAGCCTCTGTCCCCTCCAAATTCTGAATTGATGTGGAACCCGAGAGAGGAATCCCAGTACCACAATGTGAGCTTCATGGCCACCAAAGTCAGACCAGAGAAGGGACTTAGACAAGAGGCCAGTGGTCTTCCCTTTGCTGATACAGGACAAATCCAGGTAGGGCAGCCAGCTGTCACCGCTCCCGGCACAGGGGAGAACAGGATAAGATGGATAGAGCCACTAGAGTGACCCGGACACCCAAACTCTACTTGGTAGACCGCACAGGCTCCAGCAGCAACTGCTGTGAATCACCAGCTTCTCCCTTGGGGTGGCCCTGACTAGATGTCAGAGGCCAGAGAAGGAATCACAGGTGACCTCCCTTAGTTCTGCCCACCCTGTAGCCAAGGGGCCTTCCCATCCCATGCCCCCATCCGTCTTACAGGACTATGACTGGAACTCTCCCCCAAGAGCAATGGGCTTTGCTGGTCCCCCTGAAGCCACGAGACATCAAACTCCTGTGTCTCCTTTAAGAGACCTTGGTTCACACGAAGGCCTCTTGCACCCTGGTGCAAGGAAAGAGTACCAACAAGGGAGACTGAGGCCCTGCTGCCCTCTTCTGGCCTGGCTGAGCTTCCTGCCTTATCTTCTCAGCTCTCTTCCTGCCTTAGAAGAACACCTAGGAGAAGCATGCTCCCAGGTATGCCGAGCCACTAGGTCCCACAGCCCAGGGGATTCTGGCCTTTGTCAGGTCTCACTAGTGACCATGCTGTGGACCAACCATGCTACCAGCCTAGAGCCAGTACTGCCTGGAGTTAGCACCTTCTGCCAAAACAGCCTTGTCTACTGTTTATTCTTAGCCCCGAGGACACCCAGGCTCAGCAGCTGTCCTGCTATCCTGGGTAGACTCCCGTGCCAGGCTGCATTTAGGAACTTGCTGCCATCTCGTGTGGTCACATGTTTAGTTCGGCTAAAAATCTCTGCCTCTGTAAGTTGCAGTCTCTTAGAACTGACACAGAATCAATGTTATAGATCACCTGGACTGCGAGCAAGGTAGAGAGAGCACTTGCCTTGCAAGCACAAGGGCCTGAGTTCAATCCCCAGCACCCATGTAAAAATCCCAGGCATGGGGGACTGGAGAGATGGCTCAGCGGTTAAGAGCACTGAATGCTCTTGCAGAGGACCCGGGTTCAATTCCCAGAACTCACATGGTGGCTAACAACCATCTGTAACTCCAGTTCCGGGGGATCTGATGCCTTCTTCTGACCTCTGTGGGCATCGCACAATATTGGTGCACTTACATACCTGCAGGCAATACACTTACACACATAAAATAAAAATAGTAATTTTTTTTAAATCCCAGGCATGTGGTAGAGGGTGCTTTGAATCCCAGCACTGGTGAGGCAGAGACAGGAGGATCTCTGGGACCCTCCCTGGCCAACCAGGTGAGCTCCAAAGCCAATGAGAGATCCTGTCTTAAAAGGAAGCAGACAGTGTTTCTGAGGATGACACCTGAGATTGTCCTCTAGTGTCTACACACATGCACACACACAAAACAGGTGAACATATATAGTCGTTAAAAAAAGAAGTCAGGGCTGGAGAGACAGTTCAGGGCTGGAGAGATGGTTCAACGGTTAAGAGCACTGACTGCTCTTGCAGAGGACCCGGGTTCAGTTCCCAGCACCTACATGGTAGCTATGAACTGTCCTTAACTCCAGTTCCAGGGAAATCCGAAGCCCTCTTCTGACCTCCGTGGCATTGCATGACACGGGTACACTCACATACATGTAGGCAATACACTCATGCACATAAAATAAAAATAATAAATATTTTTTAAAAAAGAAAGAAAGAAAAAGCAAATCCTCACCCTCAGAGCCCAACTCTGGCTCAGTGACCCCCATTCTAGCCTTACACTGTGTTACTTAGAGTAGACTAGCTACCCGGTCAACAACCCCCAACATAAAGACCAAAGACAGCAGTGCATTTCTCATATGAGGCCCACTCAGTGAAAAGAGGCAGTCCCTGCACCAAAGTCATGTAGAAACTCAGAGGCCCATGCTGTGGAAGTTCCTCTGGGGCAGATAGGGGCTAAGAGTAGATGATCTTGTAGGGTTTTAAGGGATCAGGAAGTTGTGACTTCCACCTTCTGTCCATGGGCCATTGGCCAGAATTCAACCATGAGGCCACACCCAAGAGCAAGGGGGAACATAGTCTAGTGGTAGGCGAAGCCAGAGCGAGAGCAGGCCAGTTTTAGCCCCTGGTGGACACCTTTGGTATCTCCATCTTCCGTCTCTCTATTCCCAAATTTCTTGGAGAACACCCACTGAAAAGTGAGACCTTTGTGACAGTGTCAACTTGTATGGGTCCTGCACCCCTCCTTCGGCACCAAACTGACACCTGGCCATATCTCTATTCCTGATGGGCCTATGTCACCCTCTTCCCAAGTGAGGAACAGGTTTGAGCTCATGCCTTTATCAAACAAGGACCAACACCACTGAACATATGACCAGCAGGCCTGGCCTTACCTCATCCCATCTGCTGCTCATTGTAGAAAAATTAAGCTCAGAGGTGGAGAGGGGGTGTGTGTGGAAGGAAGACTGAAAGAAGGAGAAGCAGTAGTTTCATAAAATTATGAAAAGGGAGACACTGTCAACCCAGTGGTTCTCAAATGAGCAGGGAAATTTGTACCCCAGGGATCATTTACCAATGTCTGGGGGCATTTTTGCTTGAAGCTGTTGCATCTGGGTCTACTTGAGAACACCAAAGATGCTTCTAAATCTTGTGCGGAGCCCAGAATGGCCTCATCCCTTCCCTCTCAAAATAGTCTGTTGTAAACATCAGTAATGCTTGGGCCGAGAGCCCCACACTAGCCTGCCTGATACAGGGAAGGAAACCAAGGCACAGAAAAGGGTGGTCACTCGTGCAAGAACACACAGCAGGCTTTTGGTACTTGAATCTAGGCCCTGTGACTCTATTAGGAAAACAGGTTTATTTATTCCCAACACCCCTTTTTTGATGTGTTCAAATGTCTGCCTTCTTCCTCTTCACTGTTGAGCCACAATTTCCAAAACAGAAGTTGGTGATTGAGGACAGAAACAGGAAAATGGCCCTTCAGCTGGCTGGGGCTGCGGTGGGTCGCTCCCCGCTCCCCTAGGCCGCAGTTCCGCGGGCTTGCAGCCTTCAACAAAACTGCTGGAGCACCTTCAGGATCTGAAGTCTGTGGTCGAAGAAGGTTCCCACCTCGTGCTTGTGCCTGCAGGAGACGGGCATCTCTCTCTTGGCCTTTATCCCCTGATAAGCATTATAGGGGACATAGAAATCCATGTGGGACACCAAGAGCACACAAAATTACATTGCAATAACCAGATCCATCTAAAAAATAGTATGCATATGCTTTTATAGTTCTATGATTAATACATTTGCCTCTAAAATGTCAGCAAAAGCAGGTGGAGGCAGTTCCTTGGCGAAGTGCTTACTTCACAGTTTGAAGATCTGAATTTGAACCTCCAGCACTCAAGTAAAAAGCTGGCGGTGGTGACACACTTCTGTAACCCAGTGCAGGCACAGGCAGAGATAGATCCCTGGAGCTTGCTAGCCACCAGTATGGCTGAATCGGTGAGCTCCAAGTTCAGTAAAAGACCCTGCCTCAAAAAATAAGTGGAAACTGGACATGATAGCTAGCACACACCATTAATCCCAGCACTCTCAGATCATTGTGAGTTCCAGGCCAGGTGGAGCTATGGAGACCCTGGCTCAAAACCAAACAAACAAACAAACAGAGGTAGACACCAACAAAGAAGACATTCAACATCCGCTTCTGGCCTCCATGTGCATATGCACACACAGGTATACACACCCGCACACACAAGCAAATAAATGTAAAATAAGTAAGTAAATAAACGGTGACCAGGGAGATGGCTCAGTGGGAAAGAGTTCAAATCCCCAGCATGTAAAAAGCCATGTGTGGCTGTATACACCTGTAACCCTAGCACTATGGGGAACAGAGACAAGGGGGTTGCTGGGGCTTGCTGGCTGCTGGCCTGGCTCCAGGTTCAATGAAAGACCCTGTCTCAAGGGCATAAGGTGCAGGGTGATAGAGCAGGACACCCCACATCATTTCCTTGTCTCCACATGAATGTGCATAAGTAAGCACATCAGCACATGTGAGTGCATACACCACAGGCATACTCACATGCACAGACATTAAATACCCTCAGGGACTCAATTTTTGTCTTTGTTCAACAGGGCCAGGGCCACATGGTTTCTCTCTGCTCCATAGTCTAGGGTCTCCACTGGACGCTTTCATGGCTGAATCCAGAATCACCTGGAGAATCACTCACACATCTGGTGCAGAAAGCAGCACACTGAATAACTGAGCATGCCTCTCTGCATGACCGGCACCTACTTGGCATGATGGCTGGGTCCAAGGGTGAGTGTCCCGAAGGCAAGAGAGAAAAGTGGAAGTCTCAGATTTCTCAAAACTCACTTGCACTGTACCTCACAGGTCATATGGTGCAAAGCCTTCTTTGGGCTCAAGGAAAAGGAGATGCGCTTCAGCTCTCAAGTGGGAATGGCAGGGGTTAGAAGATGTAGAAGCAGAAATGGGCTGTGGTTGTCTTCACAATCTGCCGCTCCA